GGGTAGAGGGGGGGATCTCTGTGTGTCAGCTGGGAGTCCAGGGCAGGTCACCTGCAGAGTCTCTGATGACTCATCTGTAAACAAGGTGTTTGCTGTCCCCTCCCTAATGGGCTGTCAGTTGTGAGGAGGGGAGGAGGTGACTCTGAAGGGCCGGCACTGCCTGGCATGAGGCCTCGCCAGTCCTCATGGGGTCCTGCTTATTATCACCCAGGCCCCAGCCCCACCCTCACTCAGGGTATCCCCACTTTCTGCTCCCCCTCCCCAAACCTTTCCAGACCCAGTCCCCATAGACTCTCCCTCACTGACCTCCCTCTCGCCTGACTTCTCTCTCCCACATGTAAACTCAGACACGCTTAAGTCAGGCCTCCTTGGCCTCAGCACTGTTGACATCTAGGTTGGGTGGTCCTTTGCTGGGGGGCTGTCCTGTGCATTGAAGGATGTCTGGCAGCACCCCTGGCCTCTACCCACTGGGTGCCAGTAGCATATCCCCCTCCCTAGTTGTGACAACCCAAACTGTCCATTACCAAATGTTCCCGGGGATGGGGTTCAAGATCCCCCCATTGAGAGCCATTGCTGCACGTGACTGTCTGGGCTACTGAGCTGAGGCCAATACTGTTGAGACTTAATGAGAGAGAGTGGTGACTGATTAGTGACACCTGTAGATGGGCACAGCATCAGACAGTGGTGTTATCTGAGTCAACTATCCCATCTTTAATCTAAAAATGACTTCAGGGAGGAGTCTATAAATAGTAACTTGATGGTAAACAGCCTGATGCAAGCCTGAGCCTTTTGTGTTCATGTCTCCCCAGTGCCTAACACTTAGAATATGCTCATAAATATTGATGATCGAATTGCAGTCACACTTCACGTCATTCCAGGTCTGCACAGAAGGTGACTTCCCCCATTTCCGGTACCTTAATGATGCTCTGGCAGGTGGAGAGAGGCAGGCCCACCAGGCTGGTGCCGTTGATGGACATGATCTGGTCCCCGATGTTCAGCTTCCCCGACTTCTCTGCAGGCCCTCCATGCATCATGTTGGCTATGATCACAGTTGGCAGGATGGAACCCCAGCCAGACTCCACGATCACCACACCTAGGATTTCTCCTTTCTGCTTCTCTATGAAGACCTGAAAGGAGAGAGACACTTAGAAAGCCTCAATCAGCACCATCCAGGGCAGCGACAGAAATCAAGGCATTTGCTCTCTTCCTGCCTTGACTAAAGAAGAAAGACATTTCCCTGAGGACTCCAACCCAAATGAGTCCTGTCTTCTCTGTACTCCACAGCACTGGAGTGTGTAAGAAACAATTTAACACAGGCCCATACCCAGTTGTTATTCTCATTCCACATAAGCAGTCTCGACTTGGCAATATAACCACGCGGGGCACCGAGTTGTTTTTTTCCTATAGTCCCTGGTGAGGGCGAGGAGGGGAAAAGACTGTGTAGGTGGGAGCTTTGGTGGGAAGTTATGGTTTCCAGAAATAGCTTTTGGATTCTATGCACCAGTTCCCCTATTCTGTAATACTTCACAAATTCTCCCCAACATTTAAGATTCTTGAGTTAAAGTAAATACATATACATTATAAACACAAGGAGAAAGCTGAAGAGAAAATGCTAAAGTTATCTCCACCAAAAGGGTGGGAGTGCCAACAGTTAGACCATGCTCTGGATATGTGTAACTTTTTGTAACCTTCCTCAGCAGGGTGAAGACAGGAGTTAGTTTGGGATGTCTGCGGTCTGGTGAGGTTTGCAGAGACACACAAAGGGCTAGGACACTTCTTGGAAGCATCCACCAAAGTGTGTGTGTGTGTGCATTTCTTCATTCCTATTCAGACATACATATGCTCAAACCTACACTAGTGGTGGCTGTTGGGGCCTGATGAAGCCTCCTTCACAGGCTGGTATCCCCTACCCCTGGCTCCTGAAGCTCACAGTGGGCCCCTTCCTTGGAGAACTGCCCTCAGCCAAATGGGAGACACCCCTGTTATGGGTAGAATTGTGTCCTAACACCTAGTGCCTCAGAATATGACCTTATTGATATATAGGGTCTTTACAGAAGTCATTAAGGTGGGCTCTAATCCAGTATGACCTATGTCCTTATAGGAAGGGGAAATTTGGACAGAGATGGCATAGAGGGAAGACAGTGTGAAGACACGGAGAAAACACCCATTTACAAGCCAAGAAGAGAGGCTTGGAACAGATCTTCCTCTTAGTGTTCAGTAGGAAGCAACCCTGCTGAATTATTGATCTCAGACTTCTAGCCTCCAGAATTGGGAGATAATACATTTCTGTCCTTGAAACCATCCAGTCTGCTGGACTTTATCACAGCACCCTGAGCTGACACCACCCCATCCAACCTTGGCGTCAGTGGTTGATCTGAGTATGGTACAAAGACCTGCCAGTTCCTTTGGCCCCAGGTGGGACGTGTCTGTCCTGTGATGTTACCTGGAGCTTCCCTGTGGATCAGAATGCAGCTCATCTCCACCAAGGCCCCATTCCTCCTCTGTGTCCCCACAACCCTGCTGCCCACACCGTTTTTCCTGAGTGCACTCTGCCCCCAAATCCCTTAAACAAGAATCCCCACCTCAGGCTCTGCTTCTAGGGAACCCAGGACACCTAACATATGTTGGATCAAAATAAACTTTTTACCTATTGAATCAAGTCCAAGCTGCTTGGCTGGACTTGTAAGCCTTCCAGTTCAGATGCGAACCCCATGTTGGCCTCCTCTTGTCCTTCCTACATGCACCCCCTGCTCCAGCCATACCACCTCATTCATGGCTCCCCAGACCATTCCTGAGCTCTTCCGACCTTCATGCTTCTGTTACTTTGGCCCAGCCCTCTGCACACCCCTATACTTTCCAAAGAACACCCAGACCTCCAGACCAGTTCAGGTGGCCCCATTTTCCTTCAGACAGTCCTGCAGAGCTGGGTCTGAAGCAGTGTGGCTGTCCCTACAGGAATGCAGCATTTATCGTCTGAAACTCTGGATCTGCTCCATTCTGCCAACCACAGTTGTCTTTAACTAATGCTTGTACCAGCACCACCATCTCATATTTTCCATGCCCTTTCCTAGACTGTGGACTTGGTAAAGGCAGAGTGCAGGTCCTGTCTGCCTCTGGAACCCACCTCAAATTTAGCTCAGGATTGCTGGAGGCAGAGGATGCTCTTCCTCACTAGTGACGGCCCTCCGCGGCAGTCTTTAATTACAGAACCCCATGGAAGGGGAACCAGAGATGGGACTGAGCCCTTAGCAACGTCCTACTGACACCATACTCTCTACGCCCCCCGTCCCCCCAAATCCCCAGGCTCCCTGAAGCTCCTACCCGCTGGCCCAGCCAGGAACAGCTTCAGGAAAGTACCTACATCTTTGCAGTTTTCCGACTTGGAGAAGTGGATCAGGTCGTCATTGTACATGTCCTGGGTGTTGAGCAGGTCACTATACTCCTTCTGGCTGAGGTCCTCAGGGTTGATCCCATTGGCCCTGAGGAATTCCTGGTATGCCACGCTGAATGCCTGCCCTATGGACTGTGCGATCAGCTGGGCCTAGACAGCAGCCAGAGAGGGAAGATGAAGGTGAACAGGGCAGCCCTGTTGGTGGACAGCCTGGGTCCCATCAGGACTACGGAGCCCAAGCCATCAGCTGGCCAGTGGGTCAACATGGGGCACTCATGCTTGCCAGAGTCACTTTCAGAATTAGTGGGGACATTTTGATTATGACAATTATCACAAGGGCGCTACTGGCAATCGGGAAACAAGGAGTCAGAGATGCTGGACTTACAACCACGCAAAGGATGGTCCTACACACCGATGACTCATTCAACCTCTTACATAATTTTCTCATATCCCACTGGACATTCATGTACATGCAACCCCCATGTCTAATTATCTGACTTCAGGACTCAGCTCAAATTTATATAAAAACACAAAAACTTTAATTACACATATTGAGTGTTCCAAGAACAATTGCTGTATAAACAGAGAGAATGATGTTTTGCTTTGGCCAGCACTTTGCAAGGAGTAAGCTTCACCACTTTGGAAAATCACCAGCATTATGCTGTTCATGGTGTCTAGGCTGCCAATAAATCACATCACTATCAGCTGCACATATGCTGTCCTACGGGGTAACTGCCTGTGTGTGTCTATCCAGTTACCTATTTTCTTAGCCCTTAAAAATGTCAAATAGAAAGTGCTTACAATATTAAGCTGAATACTGTGTTCTTATATACAGACTTAACCAACCAAGTAGCTGCAAGTACCTGATGACTCCACTGTTCCTTCTGGAACAGCTGGACCCATGCATTTACATACTGTTGTAAGTACAATGCTACTAGCCTGGTTCCTTTCTTTTCTCTTCTGTTTTACATTGATGGCAATACTTTATTTTGTAAAAATAATTTCAAACGGAGAGATTACATTATCTTTGGATTTCATTTTAGGGTGGTATCTGGCCATTACAAAATATTTGTTGAGAACCCTGATTTAGTCCAACCCTGCATTTTCCAGGAGAGGAACATGCTCCAGATCACACAGCTCACAGCATGGGAGCTCTGCTTCCACTGTTCTTTCTCTTGCACTGGGCTTTGAGAACCTTTCTCTGCATTAATTCATCCATGTTATGATGCAGGGCAGCCGGTAGCAACCGAGCACTTCCTACGTGCCTGTGATGCCCTTCATTGCTTTATGAGGACCATTATATAAACCCTCACATCAAGCCCATGGCTGATGGAAGTATGACTGGTCCACAGGCCCTCCTCCTGAGCTCTTGAGGCTGGCTGTGTTTCAGAATTCAGAAAATTTGGGATTTTAGAAAGGTAACAGGGTACATATATAATACATTGCTTAATAACCCTTTTAGGGCCTGGGGAAGTGTCCTATCAATGAACACCTAATATTCCTGCAGCAAAATGTGTAAGACTCATGGTAAGCTTGACAAATCCTATCAATGATCTCACGGCAGTTCAGGACAGGTGTATCAGCAAAGCGACTACAAAAACCTCTTTGCTTGTCAGAGCTCTTTAGACTTTGAAACTGTGACTCTCTTTTCTTTGGCCCCTTTGGACAGATTAGGAGACAGAGGTTGAGTGGGTAAGTTGTCCATTGCCCAGGAAGGGGATGTGGGGGAGGGGGAGCTGGATCCTGGCAGACTGATTTCAGAGTCCACCCTCCCGCCCACCACATGGGACTGCCTCTCAGTGAAATCTGAATGGGTAGAAAAACACCACCACAAAGTCTCTAGAATAATGTTTAAAACACACACATACCATTCTAACCTCCACTCCTTTCCCTTCCTTCCCTAGATTTTGCTAAAAGCAGCTAATTAACAGTGGTAGTAGTACTTTCTGTGCCGCTGGCCAAAAAGAAATGCGTAACTAGTCTCACTCTGAAAGTCTAGTGGCTTCACAGGCCACAGTCCCATCAAGGACCACCACCCTACATCCTGCTGTAAAAGCAGAAGGCAGTGGGGCATCACTTTGGGCATCAGAGGCATGCAGACAGAGGACTGAATAATATATGCCTGGGAACACGGCCAGCAGACCTGCTGACCTTCATGCATGGATGCACTCAGGGAACAGACAGGCTGCTGGTATTTCTGCAATATCTACCACAGTCACACAGCAGCCCGACGAGGGGCCAGTCTCCCACCAAAGCTCAGTGGCGACACAGCTGGTACCTGGAGGCAGGATTCACATCGCGCTCTCCCAGGTCCTCTGCTTAAAAAGCCAAGAGTAAGATTCCCAGGTCCACGCTTGTCCTAACTCCTGCTTCCATTCTTTCCTTTTACCATCTTTCCTGGCAGGAAGCCCAAGGAAAAGAAAGCCCTCCTTGGGGCTCCAAGACAGATGAAGGGGGCAGAGGGATCCTCATACGTACACGTGTGCATACAGGGAGCCTCAGGCCTGGTGAGCAGCACTAACCCCACCTTTTCACTGGCATGCAGGACACGTGAGGCTTAAGGTTCTAAATCTGGCTCTTTTGGAACTTTCTGAGAACCTCTGAAATTCATTTTCTCCCAGTGTGAAAGTTGGGCCTCAGTTTTAAAGGAATAGCAGGGGGACACCTGGGCTGCTTTCTAGAGAACCAGACCAGTGAAGGATGGAGCAAAAAGCGTGAGGGGCTCCTCTTCTCTGTCGCTGCAGCCAACAGCTCTGGTTGCCCAGGGAAAAGTTCTGACTCCCAGCTTACTGGAGGAAGGCAATTTACTACAGCTGGATGAGCACTTTCATGGCGTAAAACTGGCCTCTTCTAGGGAGCCAAGGTTACCACAGGTGATTTTCTTTAAGTTGTAAAGGCTTGCTGCTCATATGAGAAACAGAGCTTATTTCACTGTGGCAGGAGAAAGAAAACTCAGCACCGTCAAGGACACCTACATAGCCTGCTCGAGGGCGGGGGGAGGGGGGCGTGGCGGCTCCACAATTTAAACCATCAAGGGCTGTAGCCCGTTCTGGAAAGGAGCTTCCAAGGCCTGCCCAGGTTTGGGAGACACTCGGATGCTAATGCAGCTGGAAGCTGGTGGCTTCGCTAGCATTTCCAGTCACAACTGGGGAAGGAGACGGAATGGAACAATGGGCCCCATCTCTGTTGTAAATTAATTTTTTCTGTTTACTTCATCATCTGGAGAGATGAGGGTTAGGAATCAGACTTTTTGACAGGAGGAGCAGCTGGTTTTCATAAGAACTGAAGGTGGGTAGGTGGGTGAGCAGGGATCCTAATGCTCCTGTAGCCCTCAGGGCAGCCTAAACAGCCAGGAACTTTATTTCCACATGCCCTAGTGCCCAGGTGAGACCTGCTCAGCCCTCCAAGGGCCTGACTGAATGCTTCCCTCTCTCCTCTTATTTTAAGCTGACAGTTTGGCCTCCTTGGGTTTCTTCAAGCTGCATCAGCACGCCATGCCTCAGGGCCTTTGCACTTGCTCTCTCCTCACTCTCACTTTATTCAGCTCTCTGTTCAAATCTCACCTCCTCAGAGAGAATTTAGTTGGTCATTCTACCTGAAATAGCCTCTGGTCCTGTCCCAACCTAGTTTTAATTTTTCTTCATCAAACTTCCCATTACCTGATTGTATATTAAGTGTATTTATCTATTTATCTTCTGTCTCCCTACAACCCTCTTGAGTACCTTGTCTGTTTTGCTCAGCCTTAGATCCCTAGCACAAAAACGGAATATAAGGCTGAGTAACACATAGCAGGTACTCAATATTTGTTTACACATGTCATTCAGGTCCTGAGAAATAGAGAGAGAGAATCCAGCCCCCCAAGGGCAGCTCAGGTCACTGGAGGGAGATGGGGGAAGCCAGCCTTACATCCTCAGACTCAAAGACGTGGCAGATCATCTTGTATTGCCTTTTTCCATCCTGGGACGGGTGCGAGGCTTCCACGTTCTCCTGGGAGTTGGAGCGTGGCATCCGCCTGCGGGCCATCAGCACGACAATGTTCCCGATGTCTGCGATGTAGGAAATAGTCCTCAGAGGGTGGTCCATCATCGTCTCCTGGAGGGTGAAAGGGAGGGGGGAGCAAATTCAGTGCAGCCATCCAATGACCTCTGAGAAAGTCTGCCTCCCCACAACCCAGCCAAGTGTGCTCCACAAGCGTGGTCTCTGGTGCCCACGGCAAAGACCCTGCTAGCAGATTCATGTGCACCCACTCGGGTCTGGAGGCAATTCCCTTGGCTAATAACTCAGGAGGTCTGTGGCAGGTGAAGAGAAATTTCAATAATTTTACAACCAGTAGAATCTCTGGTGGGGAAGGTAAAAAAAAAGAAAAAAATCTGCATGTGATGGTTGCAGTTTGTTTGTGTTTGTGTGTGTATGTGTGCATGTGCGCACTTGTGGGTGATTTTAAACAAAAAATTTTTAAATGCTAATCTGTTCAAGTTAATGAACCTTCTGATAAAACCTTAGGAGAATTATTATCAAACAACATCCACAGTTTATTTTTTCCTTGATCTTTAAGAAAATAGTCCCAATCTCTCTGTACACCCCACCCCCAAACAGGCATTGCAGACAGAACCTTCTAGCTTGATAGAAGCACTCATCTGGGGACAGCTGCTCTACAGACATGGGTACAGTCTCTGCGTTGCCATGCTGCTAAGCTCCATCCCCGGGAAAGGTGGGAGCCAGCTCATACCTGTGTGTCAGCATTCAATACTTTGATTCTCTGCGTAGAAATGAAGAGATCCACTTCGGTCATTGGCTGAGATTCGCCTTCAGGAGCCTGAGAAGAAATATGCACCAAGGGAAAGCTTAGTACATTCCTCTGACCCAGGTGATGGGAGCAGGATGAGCTCACACACAGAGGAATCGAGACACAGTCACCAGAACAGCAGCGCAGACTCCAGGGTTAGGTTGCCAAAGCTGGAGTTACCACAGGGAGGATGGACACATGGATGAGGGTTAGCATTTGCAGGTTACAAGGAAAAATGCAGAATCCCCTTTGCTTTTTCCGCTCTAGAAGCAATAATACATAGATTTGGCTCTATGAACAAGGATTGCCAAAGGCCCTTTCTACAAGGCTTTCGGAGCCCAACATATTGAAGGAACAAGGGCAATTGATTTGACACTCCAGGACCTTGGCAAATCAGTCTCCCTCTGCTCACATGAAGGGGACAATGTTTATAGCAGGTGAAAAGGAAGTCATCTGAATGCAGTTCTGGTCAGAGGGTCTTCATGTTCATACACCGACACAACAACACGGAAGCAATACCCTGCATCCACCCCATTCAGAAAGAGCCCAATGCTTCAATGTCCCATGGGTAGCTCATAAGCATCTAGAAGCTCCACAATCAAAAAAGCACATCAGTCTGGTTCATTTAAGGCTTAACTCCGCACATGTGTGGTTATTAGCGAGTTTTCTTTTTTGCATCCAGCAATCTGACAAATCCGCAAATCAAACATGGCTATAACTGAACAGACCCAAGTCCCTGCCACATTAACACTCCTGAATGGTGGGAACTTTCGTACTAGTGTAGGATTCATTTAGCATCTCCAATCTGCTCCCTGCCATTCCTCTCACGTGAAATGACTCATGAGCAACAGAAAACAGCCATTTTAGGCAACTGAGTTTCGAGAAACGTTGGCTTATGGGGCGGGTTCAAAAAGAAATCTGAACAAAAACTTGCTGGATGCAGAAAACAAAAACACGAAATAATAAAAAGGGAAAACATAAATAAATGGAAAGAACAGGCATAACACCGAGCTGATGAAGTTGTTTGTACTGCACCTTCTTCCTGCTTTTGGCTAATTTCTGGGCCATCTGCTTAGCATGGAACAAACAGAGACAGGAGAACAGTTAGAAAAGAATTTGCAGAGACTCAAAGTAGAAAAGGGAACTGACAAACTAATACTGATAGTGGTATAAAGCACTGCTGTGGAAGGAGGACTGACAAAAAAAAAAGTCCCACTCTATAGACAATGGATTTCCTAACTCAGAATTTAGTAGATGGCAGGGGCAGTAGGAGGAAGGAAATATATTGTTGTTTCTTATATTTAACTGTAATCAATGTTTTCAAAGAACCAACTTTTGTTTTCTGTTGGTTTTCTTTATTATATGCCAGTATTCCATTTCATCCAATATTTTTATTTTCTTCTACTTTCTCTGAGCTGAATTTAATGACATTTTTCTAGCTTCTTGAGATGAAAACTTAAATGATGGATTTTCAAACTTTTTTCTTTTCTGATATATTTATTTAAAGCTATGAATCTCCCTCCAAGCACTGCTTTGGCTGTATCCCACACATTTTGATTTGCTGCAACTTAATTATCATTTCACTTAAAACATTTTCTAAATTCCACTATGATTCCTCTTTTGAACTTTGGGTTACTTAGAATTGTGTTGCTAATTTTAATATATTTGGAGATTTTTCTAGTTATCTTTTTGTTATTTGTTTGAGAATTAATTCCACTGGGTCAGAGAATATACTCTGATTTCAATCCTTTGAAATTTGTTGAGTCTTAGCTGTATGGCCCAGAACATGACTGACTTTTAGTGAATGTGTCATGTGGACTTCAAAAGACACATTCTGCAGTTGTTGGGGATAGTGTTCTATCAATGTCATTTGGGTCATATATGTTGGCTAAGAGTATTCTTCAAATCTTATATGTACTTGCTGATTTTTTTGTCTGATTATTCTAATATTTATTGAGAGAGGTGTGCTAAGACCTCCAGTTATTACTGTGAATTTGTCCATGTCTACTTCTATCAATCTTTGTTTTATCCACTTTATAGCTATAACATATATACGTATTTAAGATGTTTATGTCTTCCTATTGGATTGATCTTTTATTGTTTTCCCTCTTTAGTAATACTGCTTGCCTTAAATTTGTATAATAATAATATAGCCTACACCTAACTAGAAATGAATGTAATGTTCTCCCCTTTTCTCGTAAGTAAAAGCATAGTTGATAAAAGCAGAGACTCTGGGGTTGAATTGTTTGAAACTAAATCTTGGCTCTGCTACCTAACTAGTTGTGTGACTCAGAGTAAACAGCTTCACATCTTTGTGCCTCAGTTTACTCAAATGAAGATAAAAATAGTATCTATCTTATAAGGCTGTTCTGAGGATAAAATAAAGTATGTAAAGCTCTTAGAACAGTGCCTGCTGCATTATGGGCACTATATTTCTGTTTGCTGTTACATGATTGTAATTTACCTATACCAAGATGAAATTTCTTGGCTTTTAATAAGGCTTACTATACACACAAAGATCTTGTACGAATAATGGTGAGTCCATGGCCAAACCAGAACGCTGTTGTGGTGATGGGGTAGGTAGAAGAAGGTCTGCTCTCTCACATTCCTTGGTACTCACCTGGTAGAAAGCTCTTGCTCTCAGCAGCACAACTTTATTTCATTAATGACTAAGGTGTCTTGTCTGTACTACCTCATTGTGGGAAAACTGGATGATTCAGCCATCCAAGCACGAAATAGCTCACCTCTGCTACACGCAGGAATCTAGGGCAGCTCACTCCTGCACAGCCACCCCACAGCTCTTACTGGTGGTCATGGTGAAGGGCATGCTCTGGACAAGTCCAAAGGCAGCAACTGCAAGTGTCGCCCTAACTGATGCACGTGACAGTGGAAATATTTCTGCATCTGAGGAGTGGCCCTACACCAATGCTACGCCACACCACAGATTCCTTTGTGGAACTGGGGAGTTCAGACCTGCACCAGTTATAAACCGAAGATAAATGACTGCTGTGAGATCCTAATGCTTGTCTGCTTTCTACCACTTCCCCTGAAATAATATATGAAATGACATGGCAGCAATATAAGAATTTCCATTACTTTTGATACCCAAATCTAACAGCTATTGGTCAAAATGCTTCACTCTAGGGAACAGTGACCTGAAAGGGCCCTTTCAAAGGAAGATAAGCCTGCCACCAATGGAATGCCCAGATTCTGGTTTTTGCTAGAACTGGTGATGGGGAAGGGGATCCAAAGGGCAGACTGAGTTTCATGGAAGGCATCCTAAGACAGTGTTTCTGAAGTTAAAAATGTTGTTTGCACGCCGAGAAACAGTATCTTTAAACCACTTATGCTATTCAAGTGCCCTGAAACAAATTAGAATGTAAAATTTAGACACAACATTGGAAATGATGATGGGGCCGGAGCCAGAATGAGAAACGGGAGTAGCAGAGAGAGGTCTGAGAGCGCCAGGAGGCCAGCATGCATCCTCAAGCAAGGAATGACATCCATTTAAACTCTTGTGTTTTGTGGGATTGATTATGGCTTACCACCCAGCAGGCTGTGTGCAAGGGCATAAACTGTGGCGCCACCCATCCAATCACTCGATCCACAATGTGTACTGAGTGCTAACTGTTGTTAATCCTTCTAGCTTATTCACACCAGGGATCCTCCCAACTTTTCAAGCTTTTCTTTCCCCTGCTGACAGCATCCTTCTGAGTGTTGCAGGACTATCAATGTAAAAGCTTTCAACAGCCCTGTGAGGTAGGCATGGTATTATCCTCATCTTCCAGAAGAGGAAACTGAGGCACAGAGAAGCTAATCAACTTGCCCAAGGTCACACAGAGATTCAAACCTGAAAGTCTCACTCTACACTCCAAATTGCTAGTTGTGTGATCTGGGCAAGTTTTTCATTTATAAACTCCTCTGTTTTTTGAAAAAATGGGGTTAATAATACCTACCTCACAGGACTCCCTACACCCTCTATTTTGAGGAGCAAATGAGATAATGTATGTAAAGAGCCTGCTACGAGTGTCAATATTGTTTTTATTAGTCATAGACTTCTTCAAGTTAGATGGGAAACCACATAGCTGAAACAAAGCTAGACTGATAGAAATTTTAATTCTACAATTAAATCATAATTTTTGACATTTAAAGAAAATCTTTCTATAAAAGAATAGAAAAATCTGATCTTTGGGGACAGGCTAGTCTTTACAGATATAAGAATAATTGATAATGTATGAAACTTACAAAACAATTCATGGACCAAAAAATGTCAAAACACCCTTTGTGAGCTAATCACATGAGTTTCACAAGTGTAGAAAGAATGAAGACATGTATACCACATTCTGCGTGGACATGAAGCAGTTACTGAGGCTCAGAGGAGTTCAGCAGGTCCCCCCTCTTCCAGTCGAGGGGCAGAGAATGAAGTAGGCACTAGGGTGGCATGAAGCATGGAGATGGAGTGGAGAGAGAGGAAGACAGGCACGCTGGCTGCACTGGCTCCAAGTTTGCTTCCCTAGATAGGGTTCAGGCATGGTTCTCACACTGTGTGTGTGTGTGTGTGTGTGTGTGTATAGAGTCTCTACCTAGTGCACTTTAAGTACGAACAGCATAAAGAGCAAAGCTCTCTCCAGAAGTTTCTCCCAAAACGTGTTCCAGAGAACCCTAGCAACAAGACTTTAACAGAGGGTCACACAGCAATAATGTATCTCTGTTCAAATAACTATGGGAGCTTCTGGTTAAAATGAGTTAAATCTCCTTGGTACAGGGCTTCTCAGAGTCTTCAATAGGAAAACAGATGTGGCAAATATCCAACAAGACCTACTTTGCAGGGATGCCACAGAGCTCTGACTATCTCTAGAACACTAGAGAGTCTGCCCTTCTCTAAGACAGTGCTTCCCAAATTGTGGGAACATCAGGATCTCCGGGAACACAGATTCCTAGGCCTACCCATACAAGTGTCTGACTGAGAACCTGCATTTGTAACAAGGTCTCAGGTGCTGCTGCTACTGCTGCTCCCGGGATCCCACTTTGAGAACCATATATGTGGGCTTCTTGGCAGGACATGATTTCTTCTCGAAAATAATGAACAACAAAGACAGAAAGGATACATTAGGGAGGATCCAAAGATGATAAAACAAAGTTTTTAAAAATGGCAAGTGTCTTCTAATTCTGCTATTGCATTCAGATGCACCTTATTTCTTTTATTTTGGTGGATGGAAAAGCCTTTTAGTTTCAGATTCCTCAGCCTGCCTTGCATTGTTGTTACTTTGAAACTCTTTACTCTCTCGTTAAGTGGCACGTGTCTCAAGGTCAATGACTGGGTCTTGGTTAACTGTTATCTCCTACGATGTTTATCACAGGGATATGCATAGGAACAGTTTGCTTTTTGAGCCAAATTCCGTTGCTCTCTTTTCACGTTAAGTAGAAAATACCTGGCTAAACCACAACTCCAAATTCTCTCCCCGGTTGGCAGATACATCTGTAAATTCTTTGTTAAATTAAGAAAATTGTAATTCTCATGACTCCAGGTGTAAGTCCAATATCAATACTCAATTCTGGTATACAGTTGATGCTGTCTGAGCGACAGGCACCACGGTGGATGGACAGAAATTAAAGACAGTTCCAAAACGGCAACCCAAGCTCCAGGTCTAGTGTTTTCTCAGAGACAAAGCTCCACAAACGCCAGGGCTGGACTCATGGTGAGGTGGGTCTCGCAGCACCCACTGGTCACATAGACAACATGGGCAGAGGAGAGAGGGGGCGAAACAGGATCCCTGCAGGGAGTAAGGGAGGGAGAAGGAATTGGAAACAGGACAAGACCCCTCTGCCTCTGTTTAGATGAGAGCACCAAGGCCCAAATCACTCAACAGTTTGTGCTGAGGATATTGCTAAATAGATTTCCAAAGAAATCCACACCGCTTTCCTTTCGTCATTCCTTCCTGGACGGACACTATACAATCTGCAGCCTTGTTCTGCTCTATATTTCTCCAGAGGTGGCCTAGCAAAACTCATCCCCAAAGGCCAGCCTCTCTAGAAAGCATGGCACCACCTCCCTGACAGAAAGGAGTCTCCTGGGCACGGATGGGCGCCACGGTGCACGCTCCCCTGGAGACCGTCCCGACTGGTCTGGAGAAATGTTCTCGGGCACCCTGGTTCCCTCTGCAGGCGGTAAAGTCTCTACACACTCCCCAAACAGTAACTTTCCAGGGGGTGCAGAAATAAACCATGGGTCTCAACGCAACATCTCCACTTACAATTTGAGAAAGTGTCAGGCTTGGTGCAAAGGAAAGCAATCTGACAGGCATTTAAATGGATGCAGAAGGAACACAAGGCAGAAAGTATAAATGACAGGCAACACTGCCTTCAAATGCAGAGAAGCACATTGTGAAATGACACCTGTACATGAAATGTAGCCATTTAATCTCACCACTTGGTAACTCTCACACTAGAGTAACTTGCTGTAGAAATAAATATATGTTTTCCAGGTGCCTAAGTTATTCTAGACAGATCTAAAATGGACTTATAATCAGACAGCCTCTATCCTGCTCTTTCTGATGGACAAGGCCACCAAATTTTTTGTTAAGTGAACAGAGGAACTTGAAATGAAGTGCAATAGAATGAAGTGTGCCTGAGGTTCACAGTACACTCGGAAGCTGGGTGGGATCTGGTACAGGATTCTGTAGTCTACCCTGGGCATTGCTTTATGTCCAGGTGAGGTACCTGTGCCTGCTCTCCCCTCCAGGTCATCGAGTACTACTCACATGTCACAGTGGAAAGAGAAACTCTATCTGAAGGAGTCAAAGACTATCAATTTAGGAGGCCAATACAAGATCCCCAGAATGAAACCTGAACCTTCATATATTTTAAACCTTGATGGACAGAACCTAGGAAAATGCTAATCTCAAAGCAACACACAGCTTTCACTACTTTTTTGGGGATGGACTGTTGCTTTGTTCTGGAAGATTCACCTGGACGGGCCCTGGGAGTGTCCCTGGCAGGGAGCGCTGGGGGAGGACACGCTGGCATTTTGGAGGAGATGAACCTCTGTGATGGGACCCCACCCTGGACACTACAGGGTATCAGGCATCCCTGCCTCTGACCCACTAAAGCCTGTAGAAATGCCCCCAACACAGTGGCAAAAGCCCCTGTTGGAGGTGGTCCCTGTCTGAGAACCACTGAGTGAGGGGCGCCAGGTCTCTGCACTCCCACCGACCTGTTAGTGGAAAGCTAACAGCTCTCTTAACCTGGGGAACTAAGGGCTGTGCTGAGAGTTCAGCTCAGCAGCTCGTGGTACTGCTGCTTCAGCATCCATTTCCTTTAGCCAAGCAGCTTGCAGTGCCCTTAAGTGGACACTAGTTCCCTCATGCAGGCACAACAGCCCAGAGAGTCACAAGCAAATGTAAGCTCCCAATATGATTCCCCAACAGCCCTGGTGATCAACAGTCTCCCCATCTCCAGGGCCTTCCCCTTTGGTCCCCCTTAGATAAGACCAACCTCACCTTAGCTCAGGAACCCCAAAGCACTTCACCAATGCATCCTAATAAAGACATGTGCCTAGGTCCTTCCTCCCCCCCTCTCTGCCTCCCCATCCTGCCTGCACCAGGTGGCCCCTCCAGGACTTTCTTCAGGACCTGTGAGCAATAACGTCTATTTTGATTTCTTGTGGTTCTTGCTCACCATCTGGCATCCCTGGACTCTACTCAACAAATGTTAACTTAACAAAATCATAACACACTGTGCTTGTTGACTGTGGGACCCAAAGAGTCAGAACTGTTTTTAAAGTTCACTGCTCTGGGTGAAATAAGACAGAACGGTGCCTGAGAAGCAGCTTGTTCTCTGAGAGCTCTGTGTGTTCTTGCTTTGAAGGTCGTGCCTGGGAGATCCTAGATTAAGAACAGTGGGAAGACCTGGGGCAGTATTAATGTCACCTCTTTATGATAAGGAACCCAATGTTCTACCGATAGAATTACTGAGTCTGAAAGACCAAGAAGGTTTGAAGGTCAGGCTGGTATGTTTTCATGAAGCTTTCCTGCTGGGAACCATGGGGTGAGATGCATCTCTGTAGGTAGGGGGTGGGACTTCCTTTGAATGAAGTGGACCTTCCCACTGTCAATCATCCTGGGAGAGGCTAATTGTAGAAGACCTAAGGACCACAGAAGTGGGCCTGGTGGCCGCAGGGTCTCTAAGGCACAGACAAGGTTTGGGCTGCCTGGATGAAGTGGTGACGTGGGTCCCTGACACATAGGTGAAACTGGCAGGCCTCCGTCAGTAATCTTGACATTGGACTACCCCCTTGTCCCAATTGTAAATTACTCTCTAGTTTATACATTCCAATTCCCCAAACTTAGGTAGTATTATCAAAAGTTGCAGCATGAGTTTACTCTACTATGACAGATAGTTAAGGGCAGGGCCAGGTACACCCTGCACATCACTGGCTCAATTCATTTCTCATCTGCGCTGCTGAGTTTGAGGGTCAGGCTCTCACTTTATAAACAACCATTTCCCTCCCTCCTGAGGCCTCGCACAGCCTTGAACACATGAATGCTCAAGAAAGACTCTTTCCTTAATTGAGACATTAAGGCCCCTCAGTGACTGCCTTCTACCTGTGCTCCTTCTCATTCCATGTTGCCACACAAACACCAGGACGAAACTTGTGAGTGTGTGAGTGAGAAGATATAAAAAGGTGAATGGTTTCTTAAGGAGGGAATTGATTTTGACCAGTTGAAACTAGATAAAACCAATTCTGGAGAGTCCTAGCCTATTCCAACTTGCTGGAAATACCTCGCTCTGGGTTTCAACAGATGCTCCCCCTGTGGCTCCAGTGTGGCTGCCCAGTGGTTCTGGGTGCTGGTGGCACTTAAGGACACTTGAGTGACATGATGACACTTTAAGTGTCTCTGTAGTCCTGGGGTTTGTCCATGGTTCTCGATGGTACTGGTTTCTTGGTGGAGATTCTAGAGCTCTGCATTTCCATGGGATCACACCACTTCTAGTTGTGAATGATTTGAACTAGATGAAGTGGTTCTTCTGGAATCAAACAGGCTCATTCCCTTTACATCTTGGTGGAGAAAATTCAAACAGGTGATGGCTGACTTAAACTAGTTTAAACCGGGTTAGCCTTGCTCGGATGGGTTCAGAGTAGCCAGGCTAGATCTCATCAAATGGTTCGTTTCCCTTGAAGCAAACCCATTCAGTTTAGCTTGAGCAGGGTCAGCCTGTTTGAAAGCAACAGACCTGGCTCGAACCACATTGTCAGTGGAAACACAGTGAGGTACCTCTCACATTAGAGACAATACTCAAGAAGACATCCTTCCTCATTGAATTGCCTTTTCAAAGTTCAGGATCCTATGTATTTTTTCTCAAGCTATTTTTTTCCCTCTGGCCATTAAGAATCATCAAAATATCCAGTGTTTACACATAAGGACTCCAGCAGACTTTGGAAATCAATTTTTCTGTTTAGAGCTTTCAGGGGGAACCTGTATAAGCACTGCCTGCAACGTCACCCCCAATCCACTCTACCCTTGGGACTAGACAGTGAGGTGTGTGCTGACCACTGTGGATGGCTCAGGTACCCGCCTCTGCTCCCGCACCCCCACAGAGCACGCGGTCCCCCTCACCTTGATCCTGCTCACTGCTTCCTGGGCCTGCATCATGCGCACGTTTTTGGAGGGAGTTTTGTCGGAGAGGAGCTGGGTGGAGCCAAGATAATTGGCAGCAAAAATGATTCCATCGATTAAGTCTTCGGGGTCACAAGGTCCGGGAACTGTAACACAGAGCCACTGAGGTGAGTGAAGCCACCCTGGGGTGGGCCTGCCCAATCCCCAGCGCACCACCCCTCCCCCATGCTCGCCTCTGGCACAGGGCCGTTCCCGAGACCCCCTAGCAGGTTCGTCAGTCTGCTAGTCTAAGGTATCTGTGTCCGCCCTCACTCACCCCTCATCTTCAAATAGTAGGAACAACTTTTTCTTAGAGTAGCTTACTTCACCCAGGCCACTTACTGTGAGAAATGATGTGAATATTTATGTAAATACAGGACATAAAATATTTTGATGAAGGATATTTTTCTCCTGTTACACTGTGAGCTCTATGTCACAGTCAGCTTTGGCTCTCTTGTGTCTAGTCAGCATCTGTCACCCAGTGGGTATCAAATAGATGCTTTCCTGCCTGGCCAGACATGGCTCAGCAGTGGAGCATTGAACTAGGATCCAGGCGATTGGGGTTTGATTCCTGGTCAGGGCACATGCCCGGGCTGCGGGCTCGATCCCCAGTCAGGGGCGTGCAGGAGGCGGCCGATCAATGAGTCTCTCATCATTAATGTTTCTCTCCCTTCCTCTCTCTGAAATCAATGAAGATATATTAAAAAAAAAGATGCTTGCCTGACAAATGGTTAGGTAAGCAGTTCAATGCCTTGCTACCCATCCATATCTCCCCCTCTCCATTTTATCCATAGTAGGGGAAGTTTTATAAATTAAAAAAAGAAAAAAAGAGATATTTGTTACAGAATGTCTGGTTCCCTAATAGCCTCTGACCCCAATTCTGGGAGACAGCTAACATTACCCCAAAGCTGTGGTCTCATGCTGCCGACCTTGCTGACCTACAGACCATAAGTTCCCAGCCTGAACTGCATACAGATCAAGTCCAAGAAAAATGGGAATTTCTGTTTCACTGATCAACCTTGAGAATCAAACCTTAGTTCTGAATATTTAAATGGAGGTATCTGACTCTAACCATGATCACCTGTAAACGCTACTTGAAATTAAAACATGTCTGGGACTAATATATAACTAACTTTATAAAAGATGCACTAAGAAAGGCATTCTAATTCTGTAGTGAAAACATGTATTATCTTTGGCTTGGAGGCTGTATTTGGGGAGACTAAAATATACATTTTAACCCACAGATGTGGGACAAATTCTGGTTATTTACAATATGCAGTTTAGTCGTATAGCAGGGGAGCAGGAGTCTAACTAAAATAACATATGGACAAGTTTGGACCCACACTATGCTTTGTAAAATGTAGAAGATGATCAGTCTTCTGTTACAAATTCCTACAATGGATGAACAGTGTTACTTAAACAGTCACTTTTGCCAACCAGGTATTAAGAAAAAAGATCTCATCTGGGATAGTAACTTAAAAAAATGTTCCATTTATTTGTGAAAATAATAAATGCCAAAGAAAAGTAAAAATTAATCCCCTCTTTGCAGGACTCCCAATATCATATCGTTACATCTCTGACTTAGCTCTACTCACTGAAAAGGATCCCTCTTGAGCCTTAGTCAGTGTGGATACGTAGATATGTTTAAGAGCAATCCAAGTAATATTTAAGTGGCTGTGCAAATGTCAAGCAGCTGAGATACAGAAATATTGTATCTAAACAAATTATACATTTGAGATACAATCTCATGCCCTTTACCCTCCAGGGAAATGATTATAATCAAATGTCACTGTCACTGTATCATACCCAGAAAAAACGCACCTCACTTCAAAGTTCATTTCAGGATTACTGTGTTATTAAAAAGTTTCAAAAAATGAAAACTACAATATTCCTAAATCAAAGAATCACAGGGTTCACTTGGGCCTTTTGGAAAACCTGTTTTTCTTTTCAGTGATGCCTCTGGGTTGCTACATGTGCTACACATACACCTTCACCTGCAAGTAAGTGCCAAGCCTGAGGACCGGCTCTGAGGAGGTGTGCAGTTTCCAGACTGCCAGTAACTCATGGAATTTTGGAGCTTCACAAACAATGGTGCAAATAATTTACAGGTTACTCAAGAATGAAGCCCGAGTAACTGAACCTAACCTAGGAGCATGTGCTGAGCTGCATACCCGAAGGTCCGAAGAGGTTTCATTCCCACGCAGAACATATCAATTGTTTCCTCACAGGCCCCCAAACCAGACATGACCTCAAAGCGATGCCTGGGCATTCCTGGCCCCAGAAAATGGGCGCTCCCTTTGCATGGCCCTACCTCAACCCGGGGTGCCCAGGTTGGGCAGAGTTTTGGCCCTTTAGGACTCTTAAATAGTATCCTTGTGCAGTGAATGACTTGCACATCCATGCATGGCAGCACTGTAGAGAACACAGGGAGAACTGTGCAGTCTGCCTGCAGGCTCGCAGCCCAGCTCTGCTATTTGCTAACAGCGTGATCTTGGGAAGTTGCTCACCCCTGCGATGCCTCAGTCCTCTCATACATAACATGGGGATAATGACAAAACCCACTTCACGAGATCAACGTGAGGGTTCAATTAATTATTACATGGAAAGTGCTTAGAACAGTACCTGGCAAAATGTAAGAGCTTAAGAAATGTTTCTATTACTAGCTCATCCAAGCAAGAGATGGGAATTATTGGGAAGGTCTTTTTTTAAAGCGAAGAACACCAACATTTCTCCCCTTAGTTAAAGCTTATTGCCACTTAAATAGCCCTTGATGGATGCATGAGGTGTACTGGAGTAGAGGTGGGAAGACCTGGGTTTCACATCCAATATGATCATATTACTAAGTTAGGCAATGCCCCCCACCCCAGGCTCAGGTTCTCATGGACAGAAGCAGCAAAGGCAAGGAGGAAGATCTCGGAGAGGCTCACAGCTACTGTTCTTTTAACTAAAATTCTAAGGCTGTTAAGACTATGGATTAACTGGCTCTATGGCCTTTCTACTCCACTATGGTCTTCCAACCCAGGGCTTCCCGTAACCCACATGCTAAAAGATTCATGAATGACTCAGTGCTCAATATTTCCTTTTCGGCTCTTACCTTCAACATAGGTTGGGAATGAAGCCAAGCTTTTTCTTGACTGTAATTAAGACAAAGAGGTTTCAAAAAAGGGCAACGCATGATGAAAAATTCATTAACACATCCATCCATGCAGCATAAAAACAAATACATCACCAGTGCTGGATATTAACCAGTTGTCAACCAGTTTTGGTTACAGAAAGTAAAATGTAAATAACAATGCATTTCTTGTTAAAGGTTACCCAAAGCCCAGAACCATCCATTCATATTTTAGATAATCTGAAAATCCTACATTCCACAATCAGAGATATGTCTGTCAGCTTGAAAAATATCCCATAAGCCAAAATTCATAATCCGCAAGAGCAATAAAAAGGGCTCAATTTGTATTCTTGAAAATCTGGGTTTCTAAGTAAAAACTGCTGATTAATGAAAACACCAACAAAATGTTGAAATACGTTGAAATTAAGAATTCCCTTGGAGAATTTTATTTCACATTAGGTCTTTGCTGCAGTGACTTCTCACTGTGCTAAAACCGTTTGCTAGTTTCTAATCTCTTCCCTTCATCTCTTACTTATTTGTAGTTTAAGAACTTCACTATATATGTAATTATCATATGTTTCCTTAAAATAAGAACACAAAAACACAGGAGTAAGTTAAAAATCCTGGAATTCTGTATATTAAGTAACAACTTGGAGCAAAGGTCAGTCTTTCAACAGCACCATTAGAAGGGGCTGTGATCAACCAGAAATCTTCTGGAACCTGACTGGACAGCAGTTTAAATGCTGGCTCTCAAAGGAGCAATACTTACCATTTGGTTCCTTTCTCATGTGAACATCCTAGAGGTAACTCTGAATGCCACAGGAGTAGGAAATTCATTCCTGCTTCAACCAGTAATGGAATCTGTAGCTGGGGCTGGGTGATGTGAGCATTGCAGGAGAGTGGAGAGCTAATGTCAAAGACAAGAGTCCCTAAAATGGGCAAAAAGTAGGGTTTGCACGGCTAAGGGTCATCCTCAGAAAGCTTAAAGATTTTCATTGCTAAGAATCTACCAGATGTTAGGTGATCATTTAAATAAGTACTTTTCAGAAAAAGGGTATTTAGTAGAGTGTCACTGCTCAATAGGTTGATTTGAATGGAGGATATACTCTGGGGTACCTGGTGGGCTAGACAGGTGAAGGGCCCTCCATGAGGGCTAGGATGTCATGGGAAACATTCCATATCATAGTACTTTACATAGTGCTCATCATTTGGAAGATGGGAATGGCAGAGGAATGACTAATTAGTTCACTTGCACAAAATTCTAAAAAGTAGTAGCGTTAATTGTTATGTGGAAAATTGGAGGCAACTGGAGACAGTTAATTTTAGGAATCTCACTCAATTCAGGACAATGACAAAAATTCAACATTAATCTTGCAATACACTGAGCAGGGGAACCTGTCAGTAAACCTGCTGTAGATGTCCTCACTGGGATGAAATGCTTCCTCTCACCAAAGAGGGTGGGTTTCTGGTTTCAGAAAGGATCACCTTTAAAGAAACTAAAGACACAAGTCCACCCAGAATACAAGGTTATTGTCTGCTAATGCATTTATGAAAAAATGAGAGCCGAGCTATGGGGAAAGGAGGAAAGAGAAATCCATTTCAATAGTGCTTTACATTAATTTTAGTTTCTATTTATCCAAGTGAGACGACAGGCCCAGGTGAGTGCCCAGAGTCAAGTCTGTCTAATTCTGGTTGGTTTAAAGAAAAATAATCCTTAACTTCAGGGCATGCAAATGGAAGCTAACTTCTTCATAAGGGCCAAAGATTTCCAAATTATTATTCCCTAACCATCTCCCTGTCCTTGTCCTTGGCTGCTAAGGGTTTACTTTCTTTAATCAAAATGGTTGAGCCTCCAGGAAGCGCCAAGAAGACAATTCAGATTTTCCTGGGTATTTTTCTGAATGCTAATCTCAAGGGCAGTGTCCAGATTTTAGTAGAAACTACAGAAGAATTACTTCAGTCTAAAGCTCTAAAAACTGCTGTTTCATTTAGCACTACCATGGAGGGCATCTGGTACATTTGTTTATTCTCTATTCATGAGCTCATAGCCGGCTTTCTTTAGTCTCTGGGGTAGTAAATTTTTTTAAAAGAATTTTGTGAAATGAAAGAATCTCTAATTATTGCACACAAAGAGGATTTTCATCATTATTCCTAAGGACATGTAGAACCACGTGCCAAGTCCTGTAGGAACTGAGAAACTAACAAATTTGCCTTGCTTATTACATCTGATGAATCATCAAACGGTGAGTATTCAGATGTCTGATTAGCCCTTTATTTTCTCACATGTGGGCAGAGATGAACATTTGTTAATCCTTAACATTCAAGAATTAATAAAACCACATTCAAGAAGATAAAGGCCAAACTACTGGAGATTTTCCAGGAGGCCACACTAGCCATGGGCAAAGCCTAGAGGCCTGAAAACAGGAATGATGACATACAAGATACCTTGTCCACTTGGTATGTGACCTGCAAGCACTTTTCACCCAAGGACAGCAGATCCTGGTGTTAGGAGCCTGGGCCCACAGGTGCTCTGGGTTCAAGCCCTGGTCCCACCAGTTGTGAGCCCTGGGACCTCAGGTAAGTTATTCAACCTCTCAGCTAACACAGAAGGACATTAATTCCTACCTTTCGGAATTATTTTAAGGATTAGCTGAGATACTATCTGTGATTTGCTTGGCTTGGCGCCTGAACACTGTAAATGCTCAAGAAATGGTAACTCTCATTGCTGTTATTACCATCATTGTGGCTGTCACTCTTTTCTTCTTGCCATTTGTTCTCACCTCTCCATGTGTTATGAATAAAATATAAGGTAAAACTGTAGGATGTAGGAGCAGCAGAAACTGTGACCCCAGTAGTCCTGTTCCTTTAGTCCTCAGGCCTATGGTCTGAGGATCAGACCAGAAGACAGAGTATTTCAAATCTAAATTCTAATGTGGTTGTTTCAGAGAAGGTCTCCTTATGTTTGTTTGGTTTAATATGAACAGATTAATAAAAATATATACTTCTCCCCTGCATGAATATTTAATGGCAAGTATATATGTATTTGATGATATTTTAAAGGTAAATTTCACCGAAGGCTCCCTTTGGAAGTGATCTGCCACTCAGGTTAAAATGCAAATTGCTTTCTTCCATTGCTATTTAATAAAATCATTAGCAAGAGAAGGGAAAATGAGACAATCATTCATTATGTGGTGTAACCTCCCTAACGCATATCCTGAGGGTTGATGAGGCAGCCTCTATATTTAGAGCAAGCTGAGCCCACACACAGACTGTGACGCAGGCCAATATTTACCTGATGCTGGCTTCTAAAGAGGTGGGGGTGGCAGTTAGCTGGGTGTCAAAAGATGACGGTGCTGGAGAAGACAGTGGTGCCCCTCAGGGGAAAACACCTACCCTTTTCAGCCCTAGAAACCTTAGTATGGGCAAGCAGCATCTTCTTGCTTCCGTTTTCCCTGCTGTGAGCTCAGTCTGGCCTCCCTAAGTAGGGCAACAATGTGATTTGCTGTCCAAAGGGACACTACAGGACCTCACTGTCCAGGAGCCCCTCACTGCACGTGGCTATTTTAGTTAATTGAAATTGAATAAAATGAAAAATTCAGGTCCTCAGTCCCACTAGCCACATGTCGAGGGCTTGCTAGTCGCACATGGCTGGTGACCACAAAGGACAGGGCAGACGAGCATTTCCAGGGTTGCCGTCGGTTCTCTGAACAGCACTGCTTTAAAGAGTCAGACAGGTGCCTGCCAGGTGTGCTGCTGGACAGCAGTGTGAGCTGGAACCACTGCAGCTAAACCAGGACCAGTGGTCACCCTGTCGTCATGAAAGATGTTTCACTTGGGCCAGAAACAAGTGGATATTTTTAAAAATCAACCCATTTCCCGAACCACATAGCAACTGTAAGTCCATAGTACCCGAGGCTGGGGCACCACGAGGAACGATCGTGCTACAGAGACTTTTTGATGTCCAATGGCCAGTACTGTCCAAGGGAACCTTCTGTATTGGCGGAGATGTTCTGCAATCTCCCCTGTCACATGTGGCTACAGAGCATTTGCAGTGTGACTGGGGTGTCTGAAGGAATGAGTTTCTCATTTCATTCATCAATTAAAATAGACATCTGTGGCCAGTGGCTACCAAATTGGATGTCACAGCTTTAATCGCCAAATTCCACACTGGAGAGGAGAAAACAAAATCCTCCCCTTCCCTGGGTACTTCAGGGCAGAATTTCTGTGGGAGGCTGGACAAGGCATAGGCCAGAAACTGGGCTGATGGCTTTTGAAACGAAAGGCACCCTACCTCTTTGTTGGTGGAGGCTTCCGCGGGGTCACTGGGATGAAGGGGTGTACTTGAAGACTCTGCGCCCAGGGGCGAGGAGCTGCCTGGAGAGGGAGACTGGAACAAGCAAGGGAACAACACAGTGAGAACGGAGTGGGGAGGGAGGGAGCACTGGCCTGTGGGGAGGGATGGAGGAGACAGGAGAAAGATGCGCACCACCGCCCAAACATCCTGGCAGGGAGAAAACTTCTCTGCGAAAATCTCGCCAAATGCATATAAAAGACCTGGGCTTGTCAAACTTTCTTTTAAATTCCTGCCATGTTTTCAAAGGGGCCCTTAAAGCTCAGCTCTCCCACCCCCTTCAGGCCAAGTGTTAAATAAGCAAAAGTTGAATGTCAAACTTAAAGTTCTAGATAAAAAAGCTAATGGTGATACAAAAATGTTTGTGCTTTAAAATTTTTTTTTAAATTAAAGAATACAGAGACTTTGGATACCAGATGTCGTATAAGATCACCTGCCCAAGGATATCTGAGTGAAAAAGGAAAAATTACAGTATGTATTTTGAAAGGGGCAGCTGGGATTGATTCTGATGATGGAAACTGCACCACCTGTATTTTTCTAGTCAGTTCAGATTTCAATTTTTTTTTTCTGATTTAAACCACAGGCCATTGAAGATTCTGAGAAATTTCAGCATCCAAACAACATTACCTTGGCTGCTCTTAGAGAAGTTCACAAATTATGTTGAATGACATACTTAAAGAAAATCCACTTCTGGGTATTTATCCAAAGGAAAAAAACAACATGAATTCAAAAAGATATCTGCACCCCCATGTTCATTGCAGCATTGTTTACAATAGCCAAGATATAGAAGCAACCTAAACACGACCATTAAGAGATGAATGGATCAAGATGTGATACACACACATACACACACATAAATACAATGAAATAATACCCAGCCTAAAAAAGAATGAAATATTGCCATTTGTGACAAAATGAATGGGCCTAAAAGGTATTATGCTAAGTGAAATAAGTCAGACAGAGAAAGACAAAAACTATATGATTTCACTTATATATAGAATCTAAAAGCCAAAACAAATGAACCACCAAAATGAAACAGAAACAAACTCATAGATATAGAGAACAAACTGATGATAAGTCACTGGGATGTAACGTACAGCACAGGGAATGTAGTGAGTAATATTGTAATAACTGTATGGTGACAGGGTGATCACTTCTTAAGGNGGGATGTAACGTACAGCACAGGGAATGTAGTGAGTAATATTGTAATAACTATGTATGGTGACAGGGTGATCACTTCTTAAGATATATAAATGTTGAATCACTACCTTATACACCTGAAAATAAGATAATATTCTATGTCAACAATGATTTAAAAAATTTTTAAATCTTTAAAGAATAAAATAAGGCTTAGAAAATTAGGACTGGGGAGTCTGCGCCCCCAGGTGTGTGACTGACTCAGCTGATGGGCTTGGGCTCCTTGCACAGGCAGACTCTCCAGGAAGCACGAGGTTCCAGCCGGTGTCTGACACACAGCACGTGCTCCATACACACCTGCTGAATAAATGACCAAAGCGAGCAAGCACAGGCCTGGGACTAACCCAGACTCTGAAGACCCTCCCCAGACGACACCCGAACATTTCTGTATACTCCTGAAATCTTGGGAGATAAAGAGAATCTTAGGGTGAGCCACAAGATGCTTAAAAATTCTGTAGTGATGGTCCCCTGAGAGTAAGAATGACTGCTTCACAGTTTGTTGGTGATGTTTGATAGAGGACATAAAACCGAACCCACACAAAGACCTATCCTCTGAGGAACTGCAGGGATGTGAACAAGGGGAGGTAAGTCCTGGGAGAAGGAAGCAATGGTGGTTTGAGTCTCATCCGACCTCATAGGACCGGCCTCCTTGGGGAAGCCAAGGCATCAGTGAAACACCTCTGTGTGAAGCGGAGGCTGCTCCTCAGAGTAGTGGCACTGACGGGGAGGGGGCATGTTAAAATGCAAGGGGACCTCAGTGAGCCGTACATGAAACACTAAAAAAGACTAGATCTTTCCCAAAAGTCTGAATTACGAAAAATACAGAGGCAACAAATGGGCTGAAAGATGCAGAATAACGCACAACTCTTCACCGTGAGGCGCTGTACGGTCCCAGCCTAATGCTGAGGCCTGGGTGCACTTCCCATGCTCCCGGTTCTGGGCAGGGAGGTGAAGGCCACTGAGTCTCCAAGACAGTCACAGGCAGAAAGCAGCTGCTCCGCAGTAAAGCCACGAGGCCCAGCACCGGGTAACTGCAGATGGAAAGCATCCCAGGCCCTACCGGCAATGGACGCAAGAAAAGAGCTTTGCATGCCTCTAAAAGGAAACACAGGAGTTTTCCTTTGGCACCCAACAGAGCTGGTGGGTACTTGCTGAGTTAGCTCTATGTTTAGCCTACTCAAAATTAATGTAGTAGAGTTTTCATGAAAATTTAATGCCTTTAAAATTTCCCAATTTTTCAAAGTTGAAGGACTTCCTTAGGTATTTATGTTTCTCTCTTTTCCCCCCAAGCACTTTTCTCTGTCACAAAGATTTTAAGGGTCTAGTCCCTGGGAAAGCTAGTGCAGCTGGTTTTCCTTTAATTACTTGGTTTGAAAGGCAGTGAGACACCTTCATTAAAATCACAGCAACTTTTCCAAGGAGTCCCACAGTTCCTATTTCTTTAACTATTTTCTGTTGCAAATCTTCTAAAAGTGGACTTTGCAGTGTCGCGGGCACCAGATCATCTCAGAAGGATTTGAGGAGACAGGTTATCCAAACAGTATGCTGGGGTGTGGAAGAGGCAGGTCAGACCCCATAGTAAGGCTAGGTGACCAGTGCTGGGTGCCCATCACAGAACACTATAAAAGCACAAAAGCAGCTGTGGTGGGCACTGCCCTCACTGAGGTTCTCACAGGACCCACACCAACCTTTATCGGGCCCACTTCCCCTCAGACACTCAATGCTTCAGCCTTCTGCACACAAATGCACTCATTCATGTCTCCTTCCATTTACATGTGCAAGTGATGATCTCCACCCAGAGAGTTCTCCATCATTCTCTCCTACATTCCATGTGCAACCTGAAAGCACTCATCCTGCAGAACCGTTCTCACTATTCCTGGTAAGTTCTCTCCTGGTGGCACGTGCCAGGTTTTGCAAGGATCTGTTTCTGTGTATGCTCGCCCTTCCCCAAGAGCTCTTTGACTGGAATCTTGGCTTGTTCATCTTTGTAATCCAAGTGCCTAACCTTGGGTCTCATTAAACAGCAGGCACTCAGTAAACATTCACTGAATAAATGACTTCAATGTAGTTGGCAGCTTCGCCATGTTTTCCAAGTTGCACAGAAAGCAGGTCAGCCACTACCCTTTCCTTATTTTCAGTGGTCAACGGTAAGCCCTTTTCTGGTATAGCGCCAGTACACCATTATGTGTAGAATGTTAAATCTGCATTTTGAATTACAGAAATGGTCTTTGCCTGTGAAGATCCTGACCTTAGCACCAGCAAAGCTCTTCTGAAGCAGAAAGCAGTGCCCAAACCGGAAAGGACCCCACCCAGAGGAAGCCTACTGCTCAGCACACCCCTGCTGACAAGTCAAGGTGCACAAATGCCTTTGGAGCAGACACAGCCTCCATGGAGCCTAAACAAAGGTATTAGTATCAACACAGCTCAAATATCTGCTTGAAAAGCCCTCTGTCCCTTGCTTCCAACTTCTGCCTTGCTACTCTCAGAAGTGGAGAGAAAACCAGAAATTGGGTAATACTTTTCACTTCCAAACAAGCAAATTTTAACCACTGAAATAGGATACAAAAGTAAACATTATTACATATTTCTCTATCAGGAGTCTCATGCCTTCTGGGTTACTAGATCGATACTCAATTTTAGGCAAATGAGACCAGTTGTGAGAAGCAAATGTGGGCACAGAAATTCACAAAGGTAACTGCCACATGGTGCAACTATAAGAGGTAGTGTTCCAAGATGACTCAACAACTCCCTGTTCTGAGTAATTTATAGGAGGTCTCCTTAAGCTCAACAACTTGTCTTTGCAGATTGTATTCTAGAAGATTGTCTACAACTATGGTCTAAATTTACCACGACAGCTCTGGGGTCTCCCCAAGTAGAGCTCTCTGCCTCAAGATGGGTTTTTCTACACTGGGACGAGAGATGGATAGTTCTTCCATCAGAGGTGGCCTTAGGATGTGAAAGTGTCCAGAGGGAAAGGTGATCATTCATTTAGATTCTGGCTGAACATCTCCTAGGGCCCAACGCTGTATTACTGGTGGCAGGCATGAAACAAGTAGCTGAAGGAACTTTCAGGCTATAATTGTAGGGGGAAGAGCAGCACACAGGTAACTATTATTTATCTATTCCTTCAACAGAATCTCAGTGCTTATCTGTGTTCCTAACACTGGCCCAGAAACAAAGAGGAAACAGATGTTGTCCTATCCTCCAGCCATTTCTAGAAATTGGGAGGAGGCAGATATGTGAAGGCAGGGTTGTGGCAGGTGACTGGGATATTAATCTGTCTGTGGGGACATGAGGTGGGGAGGGGACAGTTCTGCAGGAGGGGAGGGGTGTGTATCAGGCAATGAATGCTTCATGCCAAAGGTGATGGCTTTAGCCAAATCCTGAAAACCGCAGTATTCAAGAAGTAGGATGGGATGGGATAGGGAAGGAAAAGGTACTGGAAACAGAAATAGGGAGGGGGAAGCACAGCTCTGCAGGGAAGTGAGAAATGGGCTGAAGAGCAGAGCAGGGACCAGTGACTGGAACACCGCCTACTCTGCCCAGAGGGTGTTTTCTTTGTGAGTCATGGGCCTGCAGTCCTCCATGAAGAAACAAAATCTAGGTCCAGTACCTCCGGAACTATTTCTGAACTGAACTGGAAGAGAGGAAGGGTTGAGGGACTGAGTTGTCACTTTCCAGCTTTCCTCTCCCTGAGTCCTCTCCCTTGGACATCTGCTGAAGAGAAGCTTACAATCTAGAAAAGCTGGTGTGATGATAATGAGAATACCCCAAAAGGAGAGGTAAAGTGCCCCTGGCTCTTCCCAAACAGATAGTGTTCTTGTCAGAAAGACATAAGG